ATAGCCAAACACGCTATGTGTCTGCGTCCTCTCACTCATGGTTGTTCTCTACCTCTGACTGCGTGTTTGCTGCGCATATCGACGCAAATGCTCCTCTTCGAGGATAGCGCGAATGTAGTCCTGTAAGTTTACCTGGGTAATACCCCTCAGTCTCATTTCCGAACCATCTCAAATGACAAAATTGCTACATTTGTACAGCAAACAACCCTTTACGCGTTCTTCTTGAACAAGGGACCACTCTTGGAGAGGGTGATTCGGGCTGAAAGGCCAAAGTCATTTCTGTTTGCGTTACACAATCATATGTCGCATCATATGAACGCTTCATAACGGCACACTCCAAAGAAATCAATCAATAACACAATAAATTTATTATATATTTCTCCGTTGCAAAATTATAATCAAAAATGAAGAATAATAATATTCTTATGAAGGCATTATTACACAGTCTACAACTTACATATTACATAATCTACAAAACCCGTTCTTCTGATTTTTCCCTCCTCTTCCAATTTTCTCAAATGTAGCTGAGTTGATCGAAAAGCAGCGATTTGTACACTCGCTGGAAGATTTTTGTAGATAGCTCTTGTCACTTCCAATGTATTTGCTCGTTCGACCTGGAACACCATTTTTTACCAGTAATTAATTGACTTCGTACACGTGAACAAGAATGTGCACGAAAACGTGCAAAATGTTCAAACGACAATAACATGATATTTTTCGCGCTGGCTCCTTGATGGTCCGAAATTTAGAAAAAACACGTTCTCTGCGCGTTCTTATCGAGATGTTTAATCATCTACACGTGTTCATCAAAACAGTTAAAAAACTGTAACCACATGAATCTTGGAATTTAAGAAAAACAATCGATCCCGCATCATGGGATTCCTAAGGACGGAAATAAATCACCACACCAGGAAGTAAAAAAAAACTGCGATTGGAAAGATTGTTTGAGCCAAAGGAGCTAAAGAACAAGCCAGCTGGGCAGACATTGATGTCGGCAATGTTTTAATAAGCAGCAAATTCATAGAATGAATAATCTCGCTGGAGTGCGCCACGCATTTGAACTGCACGCAATGATCGTGGAAAGACATTCATTCCATATCTAGGAGGTAGAGAAGGTGAGGCTGCGTACTTCATTAGAACCTGGCGTAGGTTGCCTTTTTCATAAATTATTTCCATTCGTGAAGCGGGCACCCTGCCATGTGCTATACAAATACGAGATTACAACTGTCTTTAAATGACAAAAAAAACAACCGCCGCCACGTTTGAAAGAAGTACGCAGCCACGCCCTCGGAATTTCCAGGATAAGGATACATGAACCGCATGAACCGCACACTAATCGCTGGAGCCGGCGGTGCCCGAATTGCTTTTTGTTATCGAATAAAACCTAGAACAATGAAGTTTCTGGTGTTGACCAACCCCTTTCGGGATGCGCTGCGCATTTCATTTCCATTTCTCGCTCTCCCGATGCGATTACATTGAAGGTAAGCAGATATACGAGTCAGTGTTCCAGCCCCACCACGGAAGTCCAGAACCGATTAAACGAAGGGAAGGAAAGGAATCCTGGTCGGCTCGGGTGAGAGTCCAAGATCTGCCCCTTTGGCCCAGGGTATGCTAATCGGCGCCACTTTCCAGTACATCTTTTCTGCTCTAGAGCCTTGCACCAGTCCTTCGACACGAATGGAGACTAGCGTTTACTTATTGCCACCATGCCCCTCTGACGCTAGATATAGACACGAAATGACATCACTAACCTATTTATTATATATCCGATGGGGTTGATAAGTGGTCCAGGGGTCAAACCTCGGATTGGCTGCTCAGGCTAAACAAGCCTTCTGCCCTCCAGGAACGGCAAACTGGTACCGGATTCGTCTGGGAAGAAAAAACACGGAGTTATATAGCAGCTGGCCCCGAGAGTTGTTTTATAGGATACACTGCACTCAACGGCCAGTTGCGATCCTCAATTCCCAAAAGGGATTCATCAACGGCGAGGACGTTATCGTTATTATTTAGGACTGATAAACGAGTTCTTAGGGAATTAATAAATTTTATAAACCAGCTTACTCTCAAACTTTACTTAAAAACAATTTTGCCCATAGTAAACATAGCGCCAACTGGAAAATATGAGTTATTATTCTTTATTGTATACTCTGATTATGGGAACAATCAAAATGTAAGGTTACCCGAAAGAACCCCAAAGAGATTAAGAGTGAACGCAGCAGAAAAGTAAAAGAGAATCTTTTGAACGTTACCTCTCGGAGACAACTCAAAATTTGCTCGTCTCTCAGTTCGCGATGTTTGATATACTCCTCGATTTTGGCTTTCGGGTCAGTAACCAGGGGACCGTGCCCGGGGCAAATGACCTGAAATCGCCATTTTCTGAAAACTTAAAAAACCCACAACCTTGCAAAGTTGGCTCCTTCAAAAAAGTAATAGAATTGTGTAAATAACGGGTAAATGGTAAATGATCTCCCTACTTTGCATTCAAGCG